CTCCTCGGAAGGAAGGTTGGGCAATCCTACTTCCGTAGTGATACTGCCACGGAAACCCAAGGAGGGGTCGCTATGAGTCAGGGCTGACTCGACGGCACATAACAACAACAACAACAATATCTGAGCAGGTGGTGATATTAAAACAACACCCCCTACCCCAAAAGCAAGATTCTAAAGGATTCCAAGATCTTTTGGCGAGTCTTACCACTCTGTATTCTGGTTTTGCTGGCTGTAGAACATCCCCAAAATTTTTGCCTCTTGGTGTTGTATCCACAACATTAGGAATTAAAGAGATTAACAGTTGTTTGAAATATGGAGGTTCTGGACCTGTGCTGAGGTTGGCTACTGTGTCCTAAAACAGAGGACATTTGTTTAACAAGAGTATAATGTAGAGTTAAAGATGACTTGCTCGGGCCCCAAACCCCAGATTGCCTTCACATGCAAACACACACATACACATGTATACACACACACTTCAAGAGCTAACAATCTTTAACAAAATGTAAGGAGAACCTTACTCATATGTAAGCCTAAACCAAAACTAAGCCTAAGCCACTGCCATCAAGTCGATCCCAACTCACAACTTCATAGGACAGAGTAGAGCTGACCCATAGGGTTTCGAAAGTTGTAAATCTTTATGGAAGCAGACTCCCTCATCTTTCCCCCACTAAGCAGCTGGTGGGTTCAAACCATTGATGTTTTGGTTAACAGCCAAATGCCTTAACCACTACACCACCAGAGCTCCTAATATAAGCCTAGATGTTCATAATCTAAAGTTTTGTCATTAGAAGAAAGTTTTGGTCCTAGGTCATTCCCAGAAGCAGTATGTCCAGTGATCAGAGTGCAAGCTTAGACACAAACTACTCAGGTTTAAGCTTTGGTGCTGCAATATTTTTGGTTTGGACTTTGGACTTAAGACAGGGGCCTAATCCATGATAAGAATTGTGATAGTTGTGGTTGTGTGTCAACTTGGCTGGACCACAATTCTGAGTGGTTTAAGCAGTTGTGATGTGAGTATTCCCATGATGAGATCAGATATATATGTTTTGAGCAGCTAATCAGTCGAAAGGGAGTTTCCCTAGTGATGTGGCATGCTTCCAATGTATTTATGGACATCCTGGGAAAAAGAGACACTCTTCTGTGGATCAGGATTCTAGTGTGCTGCCTACAACTGTCTGTGAGAGAACAATCCACCATTCAACCTGGAGATCTTGGATTCGTCATTCGTTGGAGTCAACAGCTGGTATGTTGTTGTTGTTGTTATGTGCTGTCAAGCAGGACTCGACTCATAGCGACCCCTCCTTGGGTTTCCAAGGCAATATCACTACAGAAATAGGATTGCCCAACCTTCCTTCTGAGGATTGGCTGGTGGGTTTCTTTTCTTTTCTTTTTTTTTTTTTTTAATT